CGCTTTTCGTATGTAAAATCAAAACTTGTCTTCTACTGTATAAGTTACTTAAATACTGAGCGAGTCTTAGAGTAGAGGAAATGTTTTTGTGATGTGTGATACTGATCAATAAATATATTACAATTTTTACTAACAAATTCTTTGCGAATAAGAAGAAGACTATCATGAATGATTACAAATGATTATTGACTCAAAAAGAGGCTTCGATAGGACACGTTTGGATATATACTACCCGATTATGGTTGGATATAATTTTTCCTCTTTCGAGGATCTATAGTCTAATCTATCAATAAAACTTTAATTTATTTTGAAGTAAGCTATTATTAAAATTTTGAAAATAATAAGGATACTATAGTATGATCGTGATTATTCGATCTGAAAGTACATTTTTTCATCGTCTTCATCAATTCTATAAAAGCTTCTTCGAAGACTGAATAAACTCCATGACTTATACCGACAGGATCATGCACGCTATTCTGATAAATATTGTGATCATTCGGATTGTAACGGGTAGGATGGATACAGAACTCCTATTATTGGACGTTGCGTATATAGATTGATATATAAAATGTGTGTTTCTTTGCTGATAATGATGATTTAGCCTTTTTCTAGATAATGAATCTTTGAATAATAACCACCATCGACTTCTCAAGAAACAGCCTATCTGTCTAATTTTGGACAAAATTGTTTATCCGATATTACAGGCTGTTAATCGTGATTAGCGTGATCATGTTACATTTTTAGCCATAGTTTAAAATAGTTACGATCACATTATGGAATTGTTAATCACAATTATTGTTATGCACAATTAATTTCAATCATGATTAGTGCTGTAGTGTGTTCATCGTGATAGATAAATTGTTCATACGTATGCTATAATACTTGCAGAGCTGGACAAGTCAAGTTAGACTTGACTTGCCTTGGTCCAAAGCTTTCTTGGGGTATGACTTGACTTGACCTGAGAGATTTTTTTCAAGTCAAGTCATTTCTAGTAAGAGATTTTCGTTTAAATTAGACTTTTTCTACCATGAAAGAGAGTTTCTGAGGCTATAAAAACTCTCTCACCCAAAAGGGTGCTAGCGAATTTTATGTTCTGCATAATTTTAATCAGACTTGACTTGACTTGGCGGAAAAGGTTTCAAGGGATGACTTGACTTATGACTTGCAAAACTCCTGACTTGCCCAGCTCTGAATACTTGCTCTAGACAAAAAACCAAGAAGGATTAGTAGTTCTCCTTCCAAAGTAGTTGCCCTGTCGAATTCATCGGTGTTGTTGAAGATGGATATTAAACTGGGAAAAGAGATAGAAATATTTTCTCTACCCATATATGTGTAACATCATTCTTTCTAAAAGTGAAAGTATCTGAAGAGAAATGTCTCCCTTTTTTAGAACTGTCTTTTATAGATAAAGAAAAATTCTGTAGTAAAAAGTTAAGATTCTGAGCAGCGTAATGTAACTCGACTTCGGGATCGATCATGTTCCTTTCTAAGCTTTGTTTCTGTCATTCAACTATCCTTAGGGATTTATTCTTTACTATCCTTATGATGCGTAGAGTAATTATCTAGGCCACCTGAGAATCAAAATACTTGAAAATGTTTCTATGGGATTTCCATGAGGTTTTGGGGAAACCACTTTCCTTTGATTAGATGTATTTTCAATTTCAATTTAGCCATATATTGTTTTTCGCAGCCTTGGAGACATTACGGTTTGGAGCAACAAAATATAGAGAATCCAATTTTGAAAAAGATGAAACCCCCTAGTATTCCGTCACAAAACCTGTAAGAAAATGATGATCAGCTTTGCTTCACTTATGATACGTAGTGCACGGACTGTTGATGTTGCGAAAATGAACTGTGAAATACCTAGGCAGGAGCAGTACATTTCAGAAGACACCTTAGCAGTTATAGGTTGTAACAGATATTTTCGTCTCCTATGATAGACCTTGAAACGCCTCAGACCTGGCAGCAAGGTGGATTGACGGCAATTGTTACACTGGCTAAACTACCCAAGTCCACTTTCGCTGCGCGATCGCTATACACTCGCGATCTCGCGGCAGAACTCTGTAGCAATTCTTAAGAATTCAGTATACCGAAGTCAACTTTATAGTTTTTTCTCAGCACGATCGCTACCGTATCGCTATTTCGGGACGCGACTGTTACGACTCGCGTTGCAACAGTAGCTGCGGCTGTTGCAGAACAATCTAGCAGTCACGTCGCCTATCATGGTTCGGGACTCTTGCTAAGATTGAAAAGCTGCTGAGGATCATTAAAAGTAAAGGAGTTTTAAAAAATCGCGACGGGTTCATGCCACGTAACGAAATTTTATTGGCGGACATAGTTTGTAATCTTTTTGAATTGTAAGAACGCAAAAGGATTGTTTTTCCCATGACTGACTTGTTGTAAAGACATTAGTCTAGAAAAACAATTGTGTCTGTCTGTTTGTTCGCATCTTACTCACCGTTTTCAAGGCGAATTCCGCATATAAAGGGTGTTTACAGCTACTGATAGATAGTCTGGCACTGAACTGCAAAAATAAACTTTGACGTTCTGTCATATATCATTTACAACGCTTAAGATTGTGCAATTAACAACGGTAAGTATCACTCTTAACGAGTAGTATACAGCCGACCTCTATTTTCACGAGAATTTCTACATTTTTACTCCAGTAATGCTGCTATGGTAGATAACTAATAGATAGCCCACTGAACATGGTGTTTACAGCTAATGAACTGGTGTTATTCTTTCATTTTCAAGACGTTTTCAAGGCAGATTCCATGTATAGAGAGAGAAGTGCCCCCTAAAAGCAGGACCGCCCCAAACGGGAAGGGATGACTCCCTCCAATTTTCAGAAATATTTGACAATTTAATTTTTGGTAAGTACTAAAAAGTTAAGATAAGCTACAATGTAGTACTATAATACCTTTTTTCTCGATGGTAGATAGTTACCTGTCTAACTCTTAGGTTTTATTGTTCATATGTTTTTGGGATAATTTTTAGATTCATACAACAATTACACGGTGGTACCTCATCAGAAATTCCAAATACGTTACATCTATTAAAAAATCGATTAAGCTACAGATATGAATTATTTAACATTTATCCCATGCCAATCAAAACGAATTAATTATTCGTGGTACCAAACCGATTGTAACAGCAACATCATCCAGAAAAATCGTTAATGCAACACAATTAACATATGATATGTGAAAAGACATTTTTAATATCTGTGATCTTGATAAAGCATTATTTATTGATGGTATTAAACCAACTCACAGTTTTGAATCTGTCATGCAATTAAAACCAAATGTTAAAACAAAAATTCGTATCTCTGTTTCAGCAGAGAATTACAGTTCTTTTATCTGTTTTATTATAACGATCCATTTTTCAAAAATAAATAAATTACGTGTTCTGATTAATAATTTCAAAAAAGAACATCAGTGGCAGATAGCGTTTTGCCTTTTCATATCACCGACAAAAAATTAAAGTTCATTTAGAGTTAAAGAAAAGTGCTTTTTCGTATTCAACACACCTGATAACCTGGAAAATTTTCTATTTTTAGCGAGAGGTATCGCCAAAAAGTTAAGAAAAATTTTCAAAATTGTATCATTTTGCCATGGATGATGGCAAAATTTTTCTGCGTCACTTTGTTTGGCGATACCTCTCGCTAAAAATAGAAAATTTTCCAGGTTATCAGGTGTGTTGAATACGAAAAAGCACTTTTCTTTAACTCTAAATGAACTTTAATTTTTTTTATCGGTGATATGCCAGCACTTTTCATTACATTTATTTAAAGCGCTACATCTCCTATTTCCACCAAGTATGCATTATAAACAATGTCTCATTTAAAAACATAACTGCAATTAAAAAATTGCTTTTTCGGTAGCTATATCGATCTCTTCCACATTTTTTCTTCTGACAGCTATAGTTTTCTAGCGAATGCTGAAGTTACCTGCTATTCACTCTAAATTTGAAAAAAGAAAAGTCCGTGATTTATTCACCTACTTTTCACTGAATCACATACAAAAGTTCGTGCCATCATTGAGTAAGGTCTGTGAAGTATGTAATCACGGACTTTTCAACCCGGAAGCTCTCAGTCACATTCGTGAATTAAATATGGAGCACAATGCGTGAAAAATCACGGATCTGACTTACAGCGCCCGGGTTGAAAAGTTCGTGATTACATACTTCATGGACCTTACTCAATGTTGACACGAACTTTTGTATGTGATTCAGAGAAAAGTAGCTGGAAAAATCACGGATTTTTCTTTTTTCAAATCTACAGTGGTGGCAGGTAACTTCCTACAACAGCGCTAGATTGCCTTTACATTTTTCACAATGAACAGATAAAAAGTGGTTTCAAGACAAGTGCTCTATCCCTTTTACAAGAAACTGAACTAATTTTATGTTCAGTCAGCTAAAATTTTAAAAAAGCTTTTAAAGGGTTCATTGACATCTAGAAAAATGTAGTTCAATGGGGTTCCAACTCCATCTAAGTTTATTTGACGTATCTAAGCGCTAGTGAGTCAAGCACAGATGAATAGGCACGAAATAATTCAAGTTGAAGCAGATGGCAACAGATATAACAAGTGTGTTTTGATAAAAGTCGGGGTAATGACCTAGAAATCTTACAAGCATATTCATTAAACTTCAGTCTTAAATCTCACTACAAAGCAGTCTTAGTAAAATATAGACCAAATTATTCAAATCAATGAGTTTATAGCGAGGTCAGAGTGTTAATCGTCAAAGCTGTCGGAGTCTGAGCTACTATTCTTGCACACATCGTCAAAAATTGTTTTAGGATCTTCGTATTCGAAGAATGTTCCGATTATTTCTCCATTACCGTTTACACCTTCTATTTCACAAGTAGTCTTTGCATTCATGGTTTTATGGAGAGCAGTGTAATCAGATGTGCCTGTCATGCGTTTCATTGATTCCATTGTGCATAAAGACAATAATGGATGATTAGGAGGCAAAGCGTTGTGAAATAATTTGATGAATTTTTAATATATTTTTAATTGTGTTCTGTAATCTTCTGCAAAATAACACACAATGCTCATATGAAAGTAAAAAATAGCTGCTTCACGAATATTCACGAATAGTTCATAAATCACCGTTGCAATATACGCTTTTTCTAATGGATCATCTACATCGTGGCAAAAAAAATTTGTTATATATGCCAAGGTGTCTTCAGTGTTTAAAATTATACTCACAAAATCAGGCGATTGGTGTTTTGCTTTGACTAATTTGAGTACAATATGCCATATTCTATTATCTGATTGTTGAATAGATTCAACTTTAAATACAGATCGCACTGAAAATAATATTTCTTTTTCGTCTGGCATATCACTAAACTTATCAATAAACGCTAATGGTTTAAAACGTTTTTTGACCATGTGATCGATCGCATATGTCGCTATTAATTTCAAATAGTACAGATTCAAAATGTGGACGTCTAGAACCATCTCCCGCATACATCAATGCTACATCCTTATCTGTAGTTGCTGATAAATATGTGTTCATTGCAATTCTTTTTCTTAAAATGTCTTTTATTTTTTATAACTCATTAGCAGTTAATTGTTGACCACGATATACTGTTAATATATTTTTGTTAGCATCAATCATTGACCTATATAAGGGTTTCATATCATTTATTTCAAGGGATGATAATTGTGCGTTAATATCAGCCAAAATAAATCGAAATTTAAACATAATTGCAACTTTTTGTGTTCGAAATGCTTTATTTAATAGGCGATAAACAACGTATCTTTGGTATACCACCGACTAGCTTTATCAACTTTGTAATTTTTCTCAAAATCATCAATTTAGTCCTGTTGTTTTAGATTATCTTTATAATACATTCGACATTCTTTTATCATTTCGTTTTTGGCACCATCCGTTGATGGACTAGCACTAAGGATTTCAATGATCAGAGGATATAAAAAGCCTCCATATAGGGTTGATCGATCTTGAAATGAACTTTCTTTTGTGAATAGAGTCATTGAACCAATATCTTTGCTAAATATTTCAACATCTTCTGCCATTTTAAAAAAAAGTAAACTTTTATCGTTGAATACACCATGAATTTAAATAATTTATTAAATAAATTCAATTTGTGGCAACTCATAAGTAAGTGGAATCACTACTTCACCCAAAGAACCCGAGAGAACGATAAACACCTTTTCGTTTTCAATAGATGATATATAATCAATACAATTGTCTGGATCTGCGAATATTTTTACGTAGCTAATGACACGACGTAAGCTAATTATTGTTGAATTGTAATAATCAGCATCTTTGACAATATTATCATCTAGCCAAACTGCAGTAAAGCCTTCAAAATTTTCGTCTTGATTGAAGTTCACTGATAAATCAAATGGATCTAGATTATGACTTACCGAGTGCTTACCGCTAGCCATCAATCAGTAATTTGTTTTTTACTTAATAGTGAGTGTCAGAAAACAATGAATAAAATTGTTTTGGTTCTTATTCTTCTGAATTTAACCACTTCCATACTTGAACTTTACAGTTTTTTGCTTAAGAGATATAAATCTAATCAAATATTTTATCTCATGCGATTCATCATGCTACCAGTCATAAAAGTATGCATTCCTATTTTTTCGTTTCTTTTTAATGTTGAGAAAAAGCATTTTTACTGATCCCATATGAAAAACGAGAAGGTCATTTTTAACTAAAGTTACTATTTTTTATTTAAATAAAGTTGAAATCTTCCCAACTAGGTAAACAATGATGACGAATCGAATGAGCACATTTTCAAGATCTTCGAGAGTTTTCTAAAGTGTCTCTGGAAATGTTTTTCTTACAAACTCAGAGTTTTTAGGTTTGGATCGGTATGAGATAAAATATTTGGCTATATCTTTTGAGCAAAAGACCGTGATAGGTTGACAAAATGACTAATATGTGTTTCAACAATCGATTATGTAAGGGATCTGTGAAAACCATTTCATAACGCGAAAATTTAATAGAGCAATATCTAGCGAAATCAAACCAAAAATATTTCGATAATATCCTAATGCTTGATATCGGCATTGTGTGAGTTGATAAATGTCACCGAAGTTGATTATCAAATATATTACGAACAAGACAGATATAGTGGAGCATATAAATGTTGCCGTCTTTCATCGTGTATGTACACAACATTTTCCATTGGAATATGAAACAATTTCAGAAATCATGTCAGGGGTGTCTATCCTGTGGGATGTTTGAGGCACAATGCCTCAAACAAAAGTAAGATGGGACGCTTTTTTGCTGTAGAAATTCATTTCTCAGGTGGTACACTGAGAGATCGACCCTCCGACGATTGTATGTGAGAGCCGAAAATTATTACTATTATGAAAAAGATTATGAGCAATAATTAAAATTACATTTTGATAAGGTGAAAATTTCTGATGAACAATCCATAATCTATCCATCCATTCTTTATGTGGGTATAAGTCTAGTACACTGTGCCAAATAAATATCTCCGTAATTACCGCAGCATTTCGGGACAGTGAGGCAATCTGGCGCTGTTGTAAGAAGTTAGCTGCCACCACTGTAGATTTGAAAGAAGAAAAGCCCGTGATTTTTTCACCTACTTTTCTCTGAATTACATACAAAAGTCAGTGAAGTGATCAGGTGAAGATGAATATATTTTGTACCAAAACGTTTTTCTGATTGAGTATCTTAGGTAGCAAAATTTTTTCGTTACTTTCCTTTTTGTCCTGTATTTTAAACTGCCCGTGAATATAGGAGCAAAAAAACTACGGTCGTTTGACTTAGGATTCCTAAGTCAAACGACCGTAGTGTTTTCCTAAGTTAGGAAATGTATTTCTAATTTGATTTATTTAATAAAGACAAAAATTGAGTTAACTTTGAATACGTCATTTTCAGAGTTCCTCGGTGGAAGTAGTGGGTGTTTCTACATTCCTGAGTGGGAAAAAGTCTTCCGATTGTAACTCTATTCGATCTCTAAAAATGAATGAGTAATCACCGGTATATTGAATAGAAGGTGTCCGTTGAAGGCGTTCGCGAAACGTTTGACATTTTTCTGAGTTTCTCTGAATTTTTTTCGATAAGTTTCAATTTCAAGGGTTTTTACAGATTGTAAATGTTTGTTTCATTCTATCGAGCTTTCTTGGATTTTGTTCGGATTTTGTTGTACTCCCGTGGACTAGTTTCTCTAGCTTCTCAAAGGGTCTTCGATTTTTTCTATATTTGCGTATGTCTGGAAGTCCCAAAAATCCTCCAAATCCCAAATCCCCCAAAAAAAACCTTGATTTCGGGACGGTGCTTTTAGTACACTTCAAACGTTCCAATTCTGATTGGTGAATGATTTCGGCGGTTGTAACAAACATTCATAAAAAACCTCCTGCCATAATTTAAAAATCGCAGTGCCATCTGTCAAGAATGTAAATAAGTTAATATGAGAAGATAGATTGACTATCTCTAAATCTTTATGTCAGAATTAAACGAAATAAACCGTCAAATTTAAATAAAGTATAAGAATGAAGGTTTATGCAGTTATCAATGATAGTAACATATTTCATTGGTTTATTCAACTATCCTCTCCCTTCTTCCTGAGCTTGGAGTTAGTGTTGCTGTTTATCATTCCCACTGGAAAATTTTGAAACACAAAAGCGTTTAAAGCACGCGCAAGCGCGATTTTTTTAAGAAAAATCGAAGATCGCACGCGCTTTAAACGCGTCTGTCTTTCCAAATCTTTTGATGTGTTAGTTTATTTTACCTGTTTACGTATTTGTTTGATGTGAGGATGCGACATGTATTATGGTCTGTCTCAGAATTGATTATAGACAAAAGCCTGGCGAGGATAATAGGAGCAAAATATTGGAGCTGCTGAAGGTCTCGATTGACAGCAGTAACAACATACACGGATCAAAAGTCGGGATTTTTCCTGGTGTCTATGCTTTTTATTGTGAAACTAATAACTTCATAAAAAACCTATGATCTGAGAATCTAAAAAGAGTTCTCCTTACTCAGTATTACTGACATCAAACAAATTTGAACAAACTTGATTGGGACAAATGTTTTCGATTGACGTGAACCAGTGTAACTTGGCATTTCTTGAATAAACCATGTTGTTCGTAACTGCTGTGCAAAACGACTGCTAAGAAAAGATACAGAAATGAGCGAAGTGTGAGAGTATGATTATGATGTCTTGCAAGACATTTGGATTAGATTATCGACAAGATATTCAAATTTTCTTTTACATCAGTGGTTGCAAACAGCTAATCGTATAAAAAATATTTTCGAAATACATCATTGTACTAGTACAAATCCCTCTCTCTGATGTTACATGATCTTCGCACAGTCGTTGTTTACACTCTTAGTTATTTAGCAAAAACGACAAGAAACTCTGTTGTTCTATTCTTTTCAGATTTTTGTGTGAATAAAACGTTAATAGATGGATGTATACTGGGAATTATCTGATTATGATATAAATACTCGAAAAAATGGCATTGATAAACTCATTCAAACAGTTCAAAACAAAGAGACTGAAAACGTGAGTAGATCTGTAGTTAAGCGTATAGTATTACTTTCTGTATCTTTTTTCCAGATGTCATCTGAAATTGATTACGCAACAAATCGTTTAATCAAAGGTCTTGTTTCGAATAGAAAATGTGCACGTATCGGTTATGCATCCGCACTTGGAACGGTAAGTGTATTTTCCCTGTATATCTACATACTATCGTTTTCTCTATGCAATATTATAGCTTGTAAGTTTCGATGGATCAACTGACGATATTTTACAACGTGTGCAAAATGCATTATCAACAAAAACGCAAACATTTATAGAAGTAAGAGTATAGTAATAAATTTAGTCAAATTTTTGTAATAAGATTATTTTGTGCTTTTTTGTAGGATATAAAAAATGTGACAACCGGCCGTATTTTAAGCTACATAGCATTAGCCTATAATCAAAAAGATGATGTAAGTGGAAAGAAAAGTGGATTTCCATAAGAGAGTACTCATTAAACAGGAAGATCATCGAGAAATTGTCGTAAAGAGTCAAAGAATTCTTATTTCATTTCTCATCTGCTTGATTTTTTAGTTGTCATCAGTTTTGCCCAAAATTTTACCCGATATACTAACAATGCGAAGACAAGCAAAACACAAATTGCAAGCGTTCATTGATTCAGCTATTATTCAATTATCAAAATGGGTATATAAAAAAACAATGTATTTCCTCTCAATATATCTAAATAGTCACACTTTTCTAATAAACAATTTCAGGCTGGAAAGAAATTATTTAAAAAAGAGATTTTTTCACAAATTAACTCATTATTACCAACAAGCTGGATTGAAACACTAAATAACGATTCAAAATCCATCTATTTATTAGTATCACTCTCAAACACATATCCCGTATGTGAATATCATTTTACTTTTGCTTTATATTTTTTTGAAAAAAATTATTTTATGTGTACTTAGAAAATATTTGATCAAACCTATTATCAATCTCGTTGGAAAGAGAATGTATTGCCGTTATCCTCATCGAAAGAACATGCAAATATAAAAAAATGTTTACAAGTAATAATTTTTTCATGAATTAACGATTTTCAACGTGACATTATTCTTTATATCTGTTCTTAGTCGTTTGGCAATGAACTTCACTTATTACAAACATTATGTCAAGAAATTATTCTGTATTCATTGCGTACACAACAGTTTGAACATTGTTGGACGCTTATAGCTGAAGGTAAGATGATTTGGGATCTCTATTCATTTAATATTTCAACATATTTCGTTTAGAATTGTCGAATAATGGATTAGAATCAAACAAGGGCCATATTTTACTTGAATCAATCCTATTTTGTTTTGAACAAGAAGACGAGACAAATATTATTGTATGAACATATTAATATTATTTGTTTTTTATCAAAACTTATCAAATTCGCTTTTTGTTTTTTCTTCAGACAGATACTATTCTTAATGATAGTGTATTTGTTCAGCGAATACTCTTATTATCAATGTCAAACAAAGGGAAAAGTAAACAAGCCGCTGCTCATGAACTTGCAAAAAGTGTGGTATGTTAACTAGAGAATAAACAAATCTTCGTGCTCATTCTTCAATTTCTTGTTTTTCTATCGTTTTAGGTTAGTAAACTTAGTAATGTGATCACTAAGAAATCGATTGATCAAAAGTTAAAAATTTTTGGAACGCTATTGAATTGGTAACTGAATAAGTTTCATATGAAGATCTATTCTCATTTTGAACTGTTGTCTCTTTTTGTAGTACGAAAAATTATGCATGTTTACAGTCAACAACAAAAGCAATATCAGATAAGGTATCAAACTGTAGCCACGTAGTTGAAACTAATTTTTCAGATTAAAATATAGAAATAAACTGCTTTAGTCAAACAGTCATTGTAACAATTTTGAACTCTTAAAATCTTTCAAGTTCATTAACGCTAATTTTATACTGACATGGTAGTTAGTAAAAATGAATATTGGCAAGGTTTAAATATCGAAATCAAAGAAACATCTAAGTTTTTCTTGGTTTTTTTCCCGTATTTTAGTGTTTCGCAGATTAAAATTTATATATTTTCTTAGTTTCTAGTTAACTGCTGATGAATCAATATATTATGCAAAATATCTCATCGGTTTATTCTGTGAAAATGAAGTAGAAAGGTAAATTTATTCAAATTACTTATGCTCTTTCTATTTGTCAACTAATCAATTCATTTTTCTCTTTCAGAATAGATGATCGTCGTCAGTTTATAATTAATCTTGTAAGTTTTAAATATGTTTTTTATTTAAATCTTTGAAATTTTACTTCACTCTATCTACTTTTTCTCTTTGTAGCTAATTAATTTAGCTTCTGATAATGACGATGTTTTTGAACAGATATTATTGTTATTTGTATTATTCGCCTATTTCAAAACAAATCGTGTGCCAAAAAATTTACGTGATGTACGACAAATTAGTTTTAATGATCTTATTTTTAGTTTAAAAATTTATTTTTGATAGTTTTTACCGGATGTTTCCTTTGAAATATCTGATCGATTACGTGAATACATTGGTGACGGTATTTATAAATTGATTTTACATGAATTTAGTAAACATCAGTTTATGGGATGTTTTCATGTATTCAAAAGAGCGGCTGTAAGTTGAATGTGTATTAAATTTAACATGAAAAATAATAAACAAATAATAATCTTATTTTAGAGTTGGTGTGATAAAGAAACACATTATACTCCTTATTTTAAATATTCAGATGAAATCAAATCATATTTAGCAGAAAATTATCAACAATTATATGAGACAGTTAACGGCACTATAGTATGTACATGGATAGTAGTTTGGCACTAAATTCAAGAATTTACAAAAATTGTTCTAAATTACTTGAATAAAAATTATTTTATATACAAATATGATTACGTACTATTTAGATTCAAGCTTTACCAGATGAAAAATTACGTATATCATTTCAACAAGTATTTGTACTCGGTTTATTCGATCTATTTGTCAATTATCGTCAAGCAAAACAATGTCTTGAAGTAAGATTTCTATTTATTGTTAAAATGTTAAATTAAATCACTATTCTTATATAGGATCTTGTAACATGTATTGAAAATGCTCATAATGAATTAGTATTGAAAAAATTAATTAATGGTAAATATGAACAACTTTAGAAATGTTACTTATAAAATTATTATTTAATGGATATTTATGCATTTTAGAAACTACATGGATTGAGGTATTTGTTGATATATTATTGTCAATGTATACAAAAAGACAACAAATAATACGAACAATTTTGAAAAAAGTTTATCTTCGAATTTCAAAATATATGAATGTTGAAGCATTAAAGTTGATGTTACAGGTTAGTTTTTAAAAACTTTTTATAATGTTTAAAAACTATCTTTTATTCCATCTATTTTAGGTGTTAGAAGATGCAGATGAGGAAGATGATGAAGATGACGAAGATATGAGCGATGCGAGTTCCGATGATGGATCTGATAAAGAACAAGAAGAAGAAGAAGAAGAGAATGAATCAGATAATGAAGTTGATAAAAATTCAAATGCTAATGAAGAATTGCGACAAGCTGTTGAAAAAGCATTGGGCGATGCGGCAGCAAAAGAAGATGACGATGTAATTTCATCGTAAATTTGTCTTTAATTTGTATTTAATTTTGTGTTCTCTTTTAGGATGTTGAAATGGATGATGAAGCCATGCTTCGTTTAGATCCACTCATTGCTGAAGCATTTCGATCACAAATGAAAAAATCATCGACAATAAAAATAAATGAAAAATTACATCATCAATTACGTGTACTCGATTTAATAGAATTTATTATTAAAAAAGATGAACGAATGAATTTTGTCACAGTAAATAAAATCTCTTATTTTTATACGCTCAATTTTGTTTCTACATTTTCTTATTTCTTTAGATTAGTATTCGTCCCTTAATTGATAAGTGTGTGAGTATACCGAATACAGCGGCTTATCGACCAATGATTGTACGACTCAATTCGATATTAAGACATCTTTCGAGCAGAAAAGTGAGAATCAAAAAATATGAAAGAAATCTCTGAGTAATATTTAAAAATTTTTAGATTGGTCATTCTGATATGGTAAAACTAGATGATTGTCTTGAGCTATTCCACTATTTAGCAGCAATACAAGGTAGTGAGATACATCAAACTGTACGTATCCTAAGATTTTATTGAGTTTTGTATTTTAGGAGGTAAAACGAAATTGTTAACAGACGTGTTAACGAAAGTTTCAATGTTTGTGGTAAGTAAAAAATAGTGAACATTTTATTTGAACTTCTGATGAAAAAACAAAGCATGCCATCTGTAATTTCCCTATCTAAATAAATACAGACGTTTAGTTTTCTTGTAATCAAAGAAGCTTACATTAAATATGCATTGTTCGTTTGACTTAACTGTCAACGACGTTTTCAAAATTGTAAAAATAGTCTCTCCTGTTCTTTAGATTAAATTGTGTTTACATGTGGGTACAAAAGAAAACAAATTAGATGATGTTCAAAAAGATATATGTTCAACGTATGAAGAAGGAATTTCAAGATTTTTTGAATCAACGTATGTTTCTTTGTTGATTGTTTATTTATCATGTCTACCAAATATTATTCTTTATTGTAGAAAACCTTTAACGAAAAAAAATAAACAGAAAAATGGCGAAATTGAAGATGCTAATGAGGACATGGAAGAAATTCAACATCCACTTGTTCATCCAACAACGATAAAAGAATTTTTTCAACGTTTTCCCGAATATTCTACACAGCTAGCATTATCATTTGTACAACGATCATTGAAAGATGATGTAACTTGGAAAAAACGAGTAGGTAGAACATTCTCTTATATTAAAAAAGAAAAAAGAAAGATGATTTCAGTTAATTCTATATTTTAGCTTCTTGTGTGTGGTATATTGAATAATTTTTTTAACAAAACTCGAGTAAGTGAGAGACAATGTTTTGATATGTTGTTATTGATGTTAAAATAACAAAATTTTATATTCATTTTTAGCTCAATAATGTTGATCCGATATTACTGAATACAACCATTGAATTAATAAAAATCGTACGTACATTTTATATTTTGTACAGATTTTTTTTTAATTCATTCATTTTTTTGTCACCAGATATGCCAAGATTCAAAATCATCTAAACAAGAATCATTGAATTTATTGACAATGTTAACACAAAAACTCTTATTCATCAAAGTATAAAAAAAAATCATATTTGATCTCTTGAAATTATTGATCGCTTCACTTTTTTTAGGAACCACAGTTGACGCCAGAACAAGCACAATTATTATTCTCAAGAATATTGGCAGTTATCGAACGTAAAACACCCAATAATCCAAAACAAAAACAACAATTAGTGAATTTGTTAAACACTTTTAAAAAGAGGTACGGTGCATTCCACGTTTGCCATCCTTCTGTCTAGAACAAGTGTTACAGAAGGTTATGAAACAAGTAGTAGATCAACTTTTTTATATGAAAGATTTTAATCCACTTTTTGAGACCACTCCATAATCCACAGCATCAATAGTTCTTGCGTTTTCTCCGTAATTTTTTACCGCACGTACCTAAAATTAAATCTTCGATGTCTCTTTTGCGTTTGAGATTTGAAGCTAGGTAAGTGTAATAAAAATTCTAGTTCAATCGTTTTAAAGCAGTCGTATTGATTGCGGATTCAAAACGAAGAAAATGCAAGAACTATCGATACTCAATAGTTGGACTAATGCCACTGGAAAGTGTCTTCGGAAAGCTCCGTAGAAGGGGTTCTGTGCATTTTAAATTGTCAACTGCCTTCTTTGCATTATCTAAAAAATAGACTTAATTCTCTCTCTCTCTCTCTTTTCTCGTTCAGATATCAATTAGAAATCAACGATAATGTAATGTCAATGTTAAAAAAGCGTAAACAAGACACGGTCACCAATGGTGATGATACGAAAAAAGTGAAAAAATTAAAAACAACGAATAATCATATGGATGACACCAGTATTAATCAGCCAGGAACAAATGAAATTGCAATATCTACATCTAATGGAAAAGTAAAAAAATCAAAGAAAAACAAACAAAATGACACTATTACTGATGAAAATGAAACATCTTCGAAGAAAAATAAATTAAAGAAAAACGTCAGTGACAGTGAAGAAGAAGCAGGATTAAATGAGTGTAGAAAAATACCATTTAAAGGATTATCAACCGTTTAAATCTATTTGTTTTGATTTATATTGTTAAATTTTCATAGTTAAATAAATAAAAATATGTTCATGGTATTGACAGATATGTTTTTATTTTTGGTTTTTGGATGATTTACGCTTTTAATTAGTTTAAACGATATATTTGGTCCTCTTCCTGCTTAATAGAATGAGTGTTAACAACGATCTAACGTTAATGTTTCGCTTCAACTTTTTGGCATGACTGAGAAAAGTTTGTGAGTTTTCTGCCTTGGATATAAGGATGCACATTTAGCATTAACGAGGCCGTATATCAAAAGGTATATCTTTGATTATGACTTAGAATGATTTATAAACACACCTAAGAATTAAATTTTGTAAAAACAAATCTGATTAGAGCCACGATTTTCAAATTCGTTACGATTATTGGAGAAATCTTATAGTTAATAGTTTTCCTTTAATCGAAAAGGAGAAATTAAACTAATTGCATTAGTAATGGACTATTGATTGTGTACCTTTTCATTATGTCATCTTTCGCTTTCACGAACTTTTTTATCTAGACAGTGTGCTAAAAACTATTTTCACAAAGTACATAGTCTTATTGGTTTATTTTATCCATTTTTTCTTGGAGAAAAATGATTCATCAAAGAGACTAGGTGTTACCACCATTAAATAGGACAAAGGAACAATTCTATTCACATCGAATTGTCGCAACGCATAATACGTATTCTAGATTACTAGTATAATATTATGTGATAAACTCGAATTTGACCGTGGTTATTGTCTTTTATCTTCGACTAAATTATCTTACGGTACGAGCCTCGTATGTTTTATCTTACAGAAGAGAAGGATTGTTTATCGATTAAAGTGTATATGTCGATAAACTGATTTTGTTTCCGTTTTAGATATTGTAACTTAGAACATTTTTGTCGATGATCTATCAACCGTTAATGGATGATGAAGAAGAAGAAGAAAATAAGACTTTTGTGTTATTTAGGAATAGAACGTCTTGTCCACATTATACAATTTGGTAGGTCTGTGTAAATTTATGGGTCATTAAACAATGAACAATGTTGAATTTGCACTCATGGTCTGGTTGTTATACTCATTTCACTGTTTAGAAGAATTTATTTCGGTTAGATCGCATCGCGTTATAAAATAATGGAAGACAAAAACGTGTCATACAATACGTGCCTCGAAATATCACCGCCACTGTTAGTTTTTCCAAGTGAAAAGATTTAATGTACAAAACAAAAATATTGATTTATGGTAATTCTAGATATGACTATCACAATTTATAAACGTTTATTTTGTGTGTGAGTCATCATTACTACTCAAATGATGAAATAATCAATGTTGACAGGTGTACATAAGTTTTGAATATTATCATTGACAATATTATTTGAATGACCAGTTGATTTTATGCAATGTATTTCGTATTTTATTCAATATTTTCACATTTCGTCTACTTGTATTATCATTTGGATTATTTATTTCTTAATTTAACTGTTTATTCACTAATAAAGTAAGGATAATATTAGAATATAATAATGAATTATTAAGCGTTTGTTACTATTCTTCTTAGAAAAAATTGAATTGCAAAAAGAAAAAATTATTAAAAGAAGTATTACAATTATTTTATTATTACTTTGGATTCTATGCATTGATTTATGCTGGAATATGCTATATAAATAATGTAAGTAAAATAGATGACTAGTAAATATCGTAAAATTAGTTTATACTATTTGAATTATATATGCTTTACTGTCATTCTTTGTTTACACATCTAATTCATGTTTTAATTTGCCTCCTCCTTCATATTTATTGCATAAAATTTTTAATAATGATGATTTTGACCAACATCTATCAATTTCTCCCATATATTTCAATTGTTTATAATTTCCTATACATGGTCCAATATAATATAAAAATAAACTTAGTACAATCATTAAACAACCAATCGATATTGCCAAATGTGTATGACCTTTATCATTAAATTTATGATGTGAAATAAATAATTTAATTACCCATCCAACATAAGTGCCTAATAATAATGGATAATAAACTCGTTTCATTCTTATCTGAAAACCGTTCCATATATGTTGTAAATGAATTTTATGAGGATGTAATAGAGATTGTTGTAATGCACACATCCATAATGCAGGATTTGGCAATATTTTTGATTGTTCATTTTCATATTGAATATTTTTAATTTGACCATTTTCATTACGTTCTGGTCCAAATATATATTGTCCATAAAAACCTTTTTCTATTTGTTGAACACGATATTGAATAACAGCATAATAACTATAACGTCTTGATTCAATTAAACAAAATAAGAGTAAAAAAAATGCAATTAATATATGAAAATAATGGGGAATTTCTTCTTGACCTAATGATAATACGGTGAGACCAGCCGTTGTTGTAACAGCCCAATTTGTTGTAGTATCGAGACGAATTCTATAAGCTATTTGTCGACCTAATTCACCACGATAAAGATGAATAATAGCATTAATATAATCCGTTGTTTTTATTTCATTAGGAATTTTTGTTAAAAGAGCAAATGGTAATTCATATGGTACAGAAAGACCAGGTGTTAATAATAATTGATTCATTTCAACATGAAGTTTATTTCGTCCATTTGTAATTGTTTGATGATATTTTAATTCATTTTCTGTAACAATAAATGGATTTGGTTCTGCCATGATGACAGTCAATGTAAGAATGAGATTAGTTTTATTGAAAAATAAATATACCTGTCGCGTATATGCACTGATGCGTAAACAAACATTCTCTTTATAATTTATTAATCTAATACATTGAAATACTTTTATTTTTCACAAATAACTACGTATCAGTAATATAAACTAGTTTTGATCTACTGATAACATCGAGTCAATTGTACAACTTCAATCATTGTACAGAATATAGATACAGAACGGTGAATTTAGTTTTGTAGTTTACTACAAAGCTAAATTCACATGTTCAAATCTCTATTCGTACAAAAATTGATTTTATGTTTTTCGATAGTTTTAGTTAGAATACTATAATGGAATAATCTTCCGCTTGTATTCTAACAGAATAAAGCTATAAAACAAATTAGTTTTATAAGGTAGATTTGACTTACCTTTGGCGAATTTGAAACGGATAAACTAAACATATCGTCTGTAAACTAAAATATTTTTGAATTATTGAAAAAAAAATATATATGATCAAAATAAATATTAAATATCTTGAAAATGATTCAATAAAACGTATTTTCAATTTTAAAAGACTATTTCATCATGTTCGTTATTTAGATATATGTTTTTAGTTACATTCTAATTTGATGAGAATGATAAAACAAAAATAAAACTTACCCATGAATAATTGATTGTTCACACTTATTCAATTCTAAAAAGTAAATAAAACGTTATTTTTTTGTTGTTTGATTGAATATGTCGACAGTGTCATTTAGTGAGTCATGTTTTCTTTTCATTACTTGATTTCTATGCTGCTATTGTATTGTTCTTGCTTGAACGTTAAAACGAGAACGATTCTCTTTTTTTTTTTTGTCTAAATGTTCACTTTTTTAATTTAATTCTAAAATAATCATAATATATTTTTATTTTGCTAATAATAATGATAATGATTGAAAAATTGTTGTTGCTTTTCTGCATGAGGACAAGATGGTCTCGTTTAAAAAAATTGTCTTCTATATCTATTGTTCTGATATGAGTCAATTTATGTAAAATGTTTTTTTAAAGTTGGAAAAAAAATATACTTCAACACAAGACGTTTCGCCTCTTAGCGCTCGCTGTAGCACATTTTGTTGAGAAGTTATGAATTTTGTATGTTTTCATTGAAAAAGGCAATCGTAATGCACTCAGGTGAATACAGTTTATCAAACAGACTTATATTTTGTGAACGAAATAGCTTCCTCGTACAGAATTTTCATTTGGGGAACTATTTGCACTATCTTTATCCAGTGTTTGAAAGAAATTGACGTACTTCTAATTCTCTAGAAAAACTTGAGAAATTAAGGGATTTCCGAAGAGACCCATTCCGCATTAACTACATATCAGTCAAACTTTATTTTAACATATCTTGTGTTACTTTTTTGAATGAAATAAAACACATTAGTTTCTGAATGCAATGAGAGATAGGGCAAGTGTCACAGGTTAGACAAAAACAGCTGAAAATTAGCGATTTTAGCCTTTATTTCTTCTATATTCTCCGAAGTCAAGTTGGTTCAGTGATAGTTTCTCAGAGTTGTAATTAGAAGTATCTCAGCCCGATTCTCATTTTCAGAAAATATACCAAAAACAAAAACCATGATATTTATGTGAGTAGATTCCAATGAACACATGAGTGGAAAAAATTGCTGAGAGTGTGATACATTACTCACGGGGAAATTTTGTCAAAATTTCACGATATTCGGATCGTGTAATTGTAACATCAACTGTGTGATCATGTGTGAACTTTCTATAATTTCACAAACGAGAATTTCTTTTCACCAGTGTCCACGCACCATTTTACGATTTTCACTAGTGACTACTTGCGAAAAATATGACGCGAAAAGTTTTCGTGGACAGTTTCCGTGTTGTCACAAGTAGAATATATTTTTCACGTCTGCTCACACCATTTTACAATGTTCATGTACGACCATAGTTCATTTCACGATATTCACGCGTGCACACGTCGTTTTATACTAAAATTTCACCATTGGTATAGTAATTGAGCAAGTATACTTTGCTGGTCTCGATATGTACACACGTGGCCAAGCGTTTGATGTTGCAACTGCTTGCATGACCCCAACATGTTGAAACTTAATCTCTTTACCTATAAAATTTCATGAAAGTCTAAGCTGACATTTCATGGTCCTTCACGTGTGAAAAGTCGATAAAATTTCCACATGGGTTACTGTAAATTAAAATCAGAGATTTCTCAACTCTTGCAGCTGTTTATAGATCTACGATTGTCCCCTAAAGCGAGCATAAGATATGATGGATAAAAAATGCTGACAGTGACAACTTTGTACATTGCGAGAGATCTCACATGTTTTTGGTTTTTAACCCTTTTATTTAGTTGTTTTACATCTAAAGTTACAATAGAAACCAAACATCTGAAAATATTCATCGATCAATTAAATGACTTAAAGGAAAGATTCAACAATCTTCAAGTGATTGTCTGGACAATATTATTGAAGATGATGCTATATACTGTAAGAAGTAATATACAATAATTCACTCTAATGTCCATTGTAACTGTGCATGCTATGAAAGTATATTTGCATAAAAAGTTGCCTTAATTAAACAATAAACGAAACTAGTGTTAAAATCGACTGATTAGAATTTAAACATCAACTCGAGCGATTAACGTTAGATACGATAGAAATGTGTGCATTAGATAAATTTTATCTGAAACTGTCAGAATAGAAATAGGACAAATTTAAATAAAATTTAATTGGAATCATTTAAAAGTAGTTTGAATGTTCAAATTAAGTAGGATGGCTTAAACAAAATTATAATTATTATCAATGAAAACCAAAATGAACTGACTGCTGGTTAAAAACAAAAAATTCGATGAAGTAAACAATGTTTAAATATCAGTTAATAGTAGAAGAATTATCGATTGATAAGAGTGTTACACTCTCTCAGAATAGAAGATCATCTGGTGTTTCCATTTTTGTAAAAGTAGAATAGCGAGTCAAAAATTGCTGAAGAAAGTGTCAATCAATGTCTAATGAAAAATACAATTTATTTTTATATGATTAGAAACGAGTGAATAATCGATGAATTAGGTCATATTAAACTACACGATGAATTCAAAAAATGTTAGAAGTTTTCGATCAAGAAGATGGAGATTTTTTCCATGAACTTTACTGTTTAAAAAAAAATGTTCAATCACTTTGCCGTCATTCACAGATTATTTTATCAAACAAAGATGACTTCTTCACTTTCCGATCGAGAAAAACCCTTGACACTCGAATTAATTTTATCTTGTAATTATTTATAATTCTTAATTCTTTGTTTAAGGTGACACATTTTATAATAGAAATTACGAATAAAATCACCTTTTTTTCATGTTGAAATAACGTATTTCAAATGAGACGTTTCGTCTTTGTTCTAAAGACATCATCGGTCAATTGATGTACAAAAAGTAACTTCTAACATAGAAAAAGACAATAAAACATATGTAGAATAGTTAAAGTGTTAGTAATAGTTTTATTCTTGATTTCTATTTATAATTCTGTTGAAAATTGTACATTAGAATGTGTAAATAAATGTATCTTCATTGAAAAGACTTGAATGAGAAAAATTATATAGTCATGATTATTTATATTTTTAACTCGACAATTGAGATAGAGAAACGTTGTTACTTTCTTAATATGTTCAATAGAATGTGAGAAAAATGACTTGAATAAATGATCTATTCCATTTATGATGACTTAATTAATAGGAGACAAACGTAATTTCTTTCTCAATTTCTATTATTAAATTGTCTTTGATTCTTTTCAAAAAAAACAATAACAACAACAACAACAAAACAAACAATGGTAGTAATAAATGTTTTGATATTAGTAAGAGAAAATTGATTTATCAAATGTTTTCTATCGTAATGAATTTTCTTTTTTCAAAATAAAATAGACAATGATTTGTTTTATGTTGCCATGCAATTATTTGTGTAATAGATTCTCGCTTTTTTCTTGTATGTTCTTGCATATGAAATTCTTGCATTCTATACGTAGTATTCTTTGCTGAAGAAGGTGAAATTTGAATTTAACGTGTTTGTTTTATCCATCAAATAGTATGACTATATTCATCTCTCTTGTTTTTGATTTCAGATTGTGTTACTTATTTATCTAAAATTCATTTATATCCAAAAAAATATTCGAACGAGTTGAATTTTGTGTTATCCTTTTTTTCGTTGAATTTTTCTTTCTTTTTGGGGTTTTTTTCTTTTCTTTGATTTTTAATCTTGAGAAGAAAAATGGATGGTTCAACATTATTATTAATGAAACAGTTAAAAGAATTAACAAAACATCCTGTAGAAGGTTTTTCAGCTGGTTTAATTGATGATTCTGATGCATTTCATTGGAATGTAATGATTATTGGACCAATTGATACGATCTATGAAGGTAAGTTAAAAAAAAAAGAAATGAATCATTTTTATTAATTATTGATTAAATTGAACTTTTATTTTATAGGTGGTTTTTATAAAGCAAGACTCGATTTTCCAAAAGAATATCCACATAAACCACCAAAAATGAAATTTTTATCAGAAATTTGGCATCCAAATATTGATAAAAATGGAGATGTTTGTATATCAAGTAAGATCATTCATACAGTACATGATTAATAAAACAATAAAATTTATGTTTATTTCTTATTAATTTAGTTCTTCATGAACCAGGTGATGACCAATATGGATATGAAACAGCAAGTGAACGTTGGAGTCCTGTACATACCGTAGGTAAGTAACAATTAATAAAAAGAAAATGAATTAATTTTCATGATAAAAGTGAATTGTTCACGATTATTTGTTGAATCAAAATGTTATTTTTTCACATTATTAATTTTATTTTTATTTTTTTAGAAACAATCTTAATTTCTGTTATTTCAATGTTAGCTGATCCAAATTGTGAGTCGGCAGCTAATGTTGATGCGGCAAAAATGTTACGAGATGATCCAAAACAGTTTAAAAAACGTGTAGCAGATTGTGTTCGTAAATCTATGGCTGAATTTGGCGGTTAATTATAGAACAGAGTTCCATATTTTATCGTCTTTTTTGCTCTCTCTTGGTACATATGTATACACAGACAACTTAAAAAAAAACAAAATAAAGAAGAAACCTCATTTTTTTTTATACACGAATCATATACATAAGAAATATGTGTTTTTTTTCTTCTGTTTTTCTATTGTTGTTCCTAAATTTTTGATTTATTTCTACTTCTTTTTTTTTTTTGCTACGTTTATTCTTTTGTCTGGTCATTTTTTATATGAATATCAAGTACAAGAATAATTCACTTCTCTAATTTAAAATTAACTTGAAATATGGAAATTCTCTATGAAACACTGTTCTCTCGTCAGATATGTGTAAATTGTCAATTTTGTGATAATGAACTTGAAGCTTTTGCTCCTACTGTTAGTTATATTAGATATTTTTGAGTGTTGTCTATTGTGCTTGAAAAAATATCTATGTTTTATTGTATTATATTTTATAATTTTAGATAAAAAAACATCCGTTATAGTTTAACCATAACGGCAACAATGTGTGAACTAATAAGTTAGTTGTTCAATAATGTTCTATCACAGCCTATCTCAACTATATTTACCTCATTGTACTAAAATCTTTCGATTTAAGTGAACATTAATGTTTAATTAGAGAAAATTGATTAGAATGCAAACATTCATGATCGACAATTCGATTAGAACTTGTGCCAATTGAATACATGAAATAATTAGAATAGTGTAAAAAGCAAAGTTGTGATAAAATGTGTATGGCTCATATTAAAATGTTTACACTTATGCCGAGAACAATGATGAATTAGAAAAATGTTCAAAATTAAATTTTCATTTGAAGTGAAATTTTTTTGTTATTTTTTTATTAGTATATATCATTTTTTCATGATTAGTAGATTGAATGATCATAAATTGAGATAGTATGCGATTTTATTATATTCATTTGTATCACAAGATCATAATCTACGAGTGTTAAATGTGAGTGTGAGTAATAGTCTCATACTATGTGACAGTTGACTGTTAGTTGAGACTTTTACAAGAGATTTAAAAAAAAAATGGTCAATCATTACTACTGTTTTCTGAAAAAATATGTTTTCACTTTTTTCTTCTTCTAATAAGTGCTATGTCTTTATTTTATGAAAATAGTGTCACATTTTTGTCTATTTTTTTTTTTGCATGTGACATAGTGAAAAAGAATATTTCATGACACAGTATACGTTTGTACTATGACGACAATTTATATGTAATATCTTCTTGTTAAATATTTTTATGAATTGTTGCTTTTGTTTATGATTTTTGTTGTTATTATGAAGATGAACGAGAACGTATTTAATTGATTGCGCTGATTTAAAACAATGAATCGAAAGTAAAGTCTAAATTGTTCGAATTGAACATTATTGAATTGTCGTGTAAAGAACTTAAAATATGACACATTTTATATGATCATATTTTTGAAAATACATTATCAAGACTGTGTGTGTACTATTATTACCAAAGTGATTATCATTACACGCCTATAACAAGGAGAGACAAATAGTCTTGTAGTAGGAACAATGATATCGAATTTTAAAGATGTTGAAAGTACAAAATTCTGTGAACAATCAATTCCAGTGTTTGATTTAGTAATCTTTTAAGAATTAATTCATCCTTGTTACTTATAACTGAAATCGAATCCGTTGATTCGCTATTTTAATTCAAAATGTTTGTTTGTTTGTCAAAGAATACTTTCTGACTGATTCATTTTTGAGAATTCATATTAATAAATAAGACATACAATGTGTATTTCGATTCAAATAGGAATAAATTGCAGTTCAGTTATTTGTTCGATATTTTCATTACTTACTTTATTTTTAGATGAATGTGGTTAGTTAAAACTGAGTCGACTAAAATATATTTTGAAATGTTTACTTGATTTTCATTTTTTGTGGAAATCTCGATCATTTATCAACGTGAAAAAAATTTAAAACAAATTAAAGTACCCAGATAGGATAGAAATACAGATTAGTCGACTGACTTTTTGATGGAAAATCGTATGTAGGTAATTAAAGTTCTTTTATTATGGGCAAGGAAAGTGAGGGCATGTTCTTGTTAAAATAAGCAGAAGGAAGACTATTAGCTAAGTGTAGGGAAGAGAAGATGTAAGTAAAAAGATGACGTTGTAAGTGAATTGATCTTTTCAATAAATCGTACCTAAATTAGTAATTCGATTTTCTTAATCGACAAAGTTATATTGAAAAATTTTAAATTGATATTTTCTTAACCAATTTGATGAGCTCTGTCTAACGATGTCAAAAACAAGGAAAAATAATTTTTGCTGACTTCTTGCATTTTCGGCACCTTAGAATTTTTATTTTTAAAATCTTTCTTTTGTTATTGATAAAGATGACCACGGCATCAGCAGTTTCATCTTCTAAAAGTCCTTTAAATAGTGAAAACGGTAATATAATTGGTATATAGTCATGATGTGAATAGTCTAATTTCTTTTGTGTGTTTAGATTCATCATCGCCTGTTAAAGTATTTCGTTGTACAACAAATCGTCCTGCTGCCAGTGATGATGAAACAGATGACGAATTAAATGTACAAACTTCTGCCACATCTACCACTACAAAATCCAAATATTCTCCTACTCAAAACTCTAAATCATCTCTATACGTCATGGATGACGATAATCAACAAACTCAACTTTATGATTATGATGATTTATCTCTGACACTCGCTGATAAAGATGAACAAAAAAGTGAAACGCCAAAAAAGAATGGTGCTATAAATGTCAATAAGAAGAATGTGTCAACAACCTCTACATTTAATACCACATGCAGTGATGATGAAGAATTATTAGCAAGTGTCATTCAATTTGAAGAAAATAAAGGTAAATTGGCTGATAGTTCAATTCTTATAAGCAATATTGTAAGCACGAAGAGAAATCTCATCATTGCAAAAACATTTGATACTAATTGTCAACCCGTTAAAAATAAACAAATTTCTTATCATTCTTTTTATTATAGAACAATCATTAAAAACATCATCATCACCATCACCATCAACAAAAAGTGGATATTTCAAACCAACACCTACGTCAGATGTTGGATTTTTAAAAGGTTATAGTAATCGCCATGAAATATGTGGACTAAAACCAGTTGGTGAGTCAATGTACTTTATTTGCTAAAAAATAAACAAATTTCTTATTCTTTTTATTATAGAACAATCGTTAAAAACATCATCATCACCAGCACCATCGCCATCAACAACAAGTGGATATTTCAAACCAACACCCACATCAGATGGTGGATTTTTAAGAGGTTATAATAGTCGCTATGAAATATGTGGACTAAAACCAGTTGGTAAGTCAATGTACTTTATTTGCTAATGATACTGTTTTCGACAGTGTGGAAATAAAACTTATCTCAAGTTTCTAACACGATGATCTACATTAGCTAGTCAAACTTTGAATTTTATTTATAGCAAAAGATGAAATTTCGCCAATTAAAACGAGCATAAAAAGACAAATTAGTAGTGACGAAGATGATATAACCATCACAAGTACTTCAAAGCCAGCAACAAAAATTGTTCGATTACCAGTTAAAAAATTACCAGGAAAAAATGATTTAATTGATCCACCAATAATAATATCAACAAAAAAATTGCCTTTATCGCCTGAATCACCAGTAGCATTTACTTCGACATTTATGCGACCACCGTTTTCTTCCGTTTCAATGGAAACAAAACAACGAACGTTACCAATGTGGCTCGCCGCGAATAAACCGTTGTCCCAAGATGTCGAATCAGAGCCAAGTATGTTGTTTTTCTCAACATCTTTCAAAGATCGAAATAGATAAAATAAAAACAATTTTTGTCGTATTACCATAGATCTTGAACAGTTTTATTAGGAACATCAAATTCTGTCTAAAAATGGGCAGCAGTCATTTCTAATGTTTTTTCGAGATATAGAAGGAACAAGACACTAGTCGACAATCAGTTAAGACGGAAAAGTCGAAACCACTATGCAGTTTTATTAGAGATGAATTGGAGTCGGAATCAGCTTCAGAAAAACTAAAACGTACTTTTTACAAAATTATTTTTCGCCTTAGCTTCTTGCCTCAGAACTAAAATACCCTTGTCAACACTTTAAGGCGTAATTTAGCTTATCATCGACTGTGGTGAACTTAAGAAACGCGTTACATAGTAACACTAATCACTCATAATGACATTGTTCTTAAATATTTGTAATAGTCCAAGTTATCTCATTTTAGCACTATTCTAAAATTTCCTCATGATGTTTTTTATTTATAGAAAGGTTTTTCTTCTAATAGTTGACCCACACCTGGAAAATCTGACAGAAATCAGCTCTGAAGTTGTCACTAGAAGCAAATTCAGTCCTGATCCCATCACTAAACTAAGAGTTGACTGATCTGATCAGCATTTTCAGTGCTGAAATTAGTAGACACATATTCCAGTCCTGATAATAATGTATAGCTCATTCACCTTTGCAGATCGAGTTATGCTAAAAGAATCACTAAATAAGTGAAAGGAATACAAATGTATAAAAGTCAAAAGCATAAAAGAAGTTTAACTTTGGATCGGATACAGGTCAATGTTCCATAACTCAACTGTCTTGACATCATGTTCTCGATTTCAGCAACAATGAACGAAGCAACAGAAAAAATATTAAAGAAATCGCGTGCACGTCGTCGCTGTGATAATGATTTTCCCATGACACAATTCATGGCCCAAGAGCAATTGCGGCTGCGAGAAAAACTCATGAGAAAACCAAAACCATTAGAAGTTACCGACGATAAAAAACAAACAGGTAATTAATCGTATAGTTGAATATCTTGTATTTAATCTATTCCAAATTTTCAGATTCACTAAAAACGCCAGTATCAACTACAACAAAAAGAAAATTGGTGCCGAATGGGAATGATTTACCGGCAAGAAAAAAAACACGCCCCACCACTGTAAATCATCCCTCTGCTCATATTAAAAATGAGATTACAAAGACTTGTTTATTCTAGTCCACTCCTGGCGTAGTCCAATCTTCATCCTCAAAATCAACTCCTATTACTGTAAATGCATTTGATCAATATATGAAAGATGTGACAGAAACATTTACTAGGATAACGATTACAAATACTACCACAACGTGTACAACAACAGCAGCTATCAATAACAGTTCATCATCAGTTGTTACCAGCATCAACACTACATCATCACCGTCATCGACACTTGTTTCAAGTGTGATGCCTCTCTCATCCACAACAACCAAAAAAAAGATGCCGCGTAAAATTCATTTATACGATGATTATCTTATGTACATTCTAAAATGGCCCGTTCAATGGTTACAAGAAGCAGGTAAACCCCCAAAAAAGTAAATTTTACAGTTAGTTTCGCGAGAATTTAAAGTGCACACACACACATGAGATGAGCATCTTGTCAATTTAATCAAACAGTGACGTTAGATACCTTCATATAAACGAAAGCAATACAGACAAATGTTTTTTGCCATGTAACAACTAAGACTTCAGCGCATCTTTTCATGAGAAAATAAGATTTAAAATGTTTTCGGAAGAAAGACGACGTAGCTGAACACAAAGTTGCCACACAAAGAATTTCAATCGAAATCTGCTGCCATTTGTTTTATAGAGTCCATACGTGCAGCAATGTAGCCTGACGATGTAGCCAACGAACCTAATATTACTACTTTTTATTAGATAACAGGAAATAACAGTAACAAACGATTAATTTCTAGTTGAAGTATACCTACCATCTTGTTCTGTATAAACTGGTGTATATATATTCTTTGCTTCTTTATGAGGACGGTATATTCTACAGTCAAAAGTCAAGTATATTATGAAAAAATGATATTTGTGTTTTGACTAACTTTTATGTGTGTAAAAAGTGTAAGTAAAACTTACAAGAGAGAAACAGTTGAAATTGCAAGGATACATTGCAAAAAATAGACAAGTACAGAAGTACTCAATGATGAATAAAGCCTAAAACACGGGGATGCTGCCTCTAAAGTTAGTGGCGTCTCGGTTTTCTGTATTCTGCAAATGTTCTATTCTCGCATTTTAACAGGAACCACACTCAAAATACCCTTCTTCCAATGTTAATTCAACTCCTCCGCTCAATTCAGTCTTCTTTTATTTTTTTGGCTGCCAGAAAAACAAATTTTTGTCAAAAGCAAAAACTTTTTCGAAAATGTGCCACCACATGTCTTCCGTGCGGCATCATATCTCAAACGCACCATCTGCGTAGACGTTCCTGTTTTAATTCAAATCTGGCGAGGCTCTTTGATGTCTCTTAGATGTATACGCTAATCTCAGCCCTACATTGATTATCATTCTGCTGTGGCATCGTTTCTCTGAGAACTTCAAAATTGGTCTTAATTGACCGTTGATAGCATCAGAAATTAACTCTGAATCCTGTGGCGATGTTTCCAATTAAATTGAGAAGTCGTTTGATAATAATTAACATTTTATCCCTGACGTAAACTTTACGTGCTATTTTCATGTGTTTAGAACTGGAACAAGGTTGTTTATACAGAAATTTTCTTGGTGAGAATATTTCACCAACACCCATTATGGAAGTATACGATTCATTTTATGAATACGAAGAAATTACATTGCCGTGGATGCTCGAAGAAACGTGGGAACAAGTATATAAACCAAGAGCTAACAATAACACAACACTTTTCATATTCTCTCGTGTTCAGGTGATACGCGATGTGAAAATAACTCAACAAAAATCATCATCGACAACACCAGTCGAATTGAATTCGGTTATTGCTCAAGCACGTCAAATGGTATCTGGAGCAACAGAATTAAAATGTCAAAGTTAGAAGTTATTAGAAAATCTATGACGGCAAAAAAATGACTTTTCGTTCTTTTTTAGTTCTAACAAAACGTGGTAAACGCGATCAACAATTACCAATGGACGATGATCTGATCATTGTGACATTAAATACTGATAAAAAACTATTTGGTTTAATTCGAAATACCGAACGAATATTAGAACGGGCGAAACTCCACAAGTCGTTTGGTAAATATAGGCCTACAGAAAAAAGTTACATCTCATTCTATTAAACACTGGCTACGTTTTACGATATCGACCGTAATAGATGTGTTTCTTCGTTTTAGCTGATAATCCTGATGTGAAAGCAAAGCCTCCATCTTGGTCGTGTTCTGAGTACCAAATACTTATATGCAATAATGGAATGAAAATTAATGATGGTTCTAATATTCGAATAAAAGTCAGTTGACATATTGTTTTTTCTACTTTATTATGATACATCTTTTTTCTTCAAACTTTTAGCTTATCACATCGTTAACAGCAACATTGAGAAGATTTCGAGCTTTATCATCAATGCGTGTTTGTCCATTATTTGAACATTTACTCACTCCGCAGTTGGATGACCCCGTTTTTCAAATAAGTCAGAAACAAATACAAATTGATGAAAAACATCTCACAGTAAGATCAGTTTCGTTGATAGAATACGTGATTTCATATGTTTCAGTTTACTTAGGGCTATAATGATTCACAACAAGCTGTTATCAGTGAAGCGTTTTCAATTGCTTGTACTGAAGAAAAAGAAGAACAAGCCAAAGTCTATATGGTTCAAGGACCGCCGGGCACCGGTAAGAAGAGCCTCATTTACCATAATGAAAGATACTACAGCTAATTGGATAATAGGTTTTTGACGAGATTTTTTTTGTGCCTCATGAACAATCTCAGTTGATGTATAAAATAAATACTATCTTTTCTCTCTCCTTTGGAAATACCAATGGATTGGCATCATTCATCCTTAGTCAAGTTTTATAATTACGATGACTAATAACAATATGGTTGATGATGTCAGAAGTTTGCGAACTGTAAGGAAGATGTAAAGCCATTGAAATTGACACTTGTCAGTCAGTACTCTACACCAATAACGGTAGTTGCAAGGCAGATTATACTTCTTTCTTCTAGTGTTTTGAGAGAGAGAAGATAATACCAGTTAGACTCCAGAAGGTCTCAATATATTGAATTATTTACTAGAGGCGGTAGATAGTCGCACTTAAATGATGTAACGAAATAACAATGTATACATCTCATTGCTTTCACACGATCTGATTCTTATCCATCTCGTTTCGTTTAAGGCCTCCCTCCCGTTAGAAACCTATCTCCACAACTGTAAGTCCGAGCTTGACCAAACTTTTAGGAGATATTGACCTTGTATAAGTATGGTGACGAAATTTTTTGTTTGGCTTCATCGTGCATGATTTGTGAGATGTTGCCACAACAGTGACCAGAATGGGGCTATTCGTAGCTGCAAGATTTCTCAGTAACGAAACGTCGTGAAGAGCTCGAGCTGGTGTTAGCTTGACGAAAAATACATGTGGCTAGAGCTAGATTTTTGATATTTTACTTTTCAAATTAATGGTGAGTATCGAAAGTGCAAAACTTCAAAAAGCTGCATTAACTTGCATAAAGATATTTTTCTAACCACAAACCTAGGCCGAATATCAAAAATCGGGCTCTATTAGCCTCTAGCAACATGTGTCAGCTTCAACTTAAGACCTTCCCGATCTTTCTGCAATGTTTCGTTACCGAGAAATCTTGCAGCTACGAAATGGTGTTAAGGTGAAAGTCGCTTTCGAGATATGGTCGCGCCAGTACCTGATGCATGTTTTAGGGCTTCCGGTAAAACTCTCATAACCCTTGATTGGAATATCATTCAGAGCTGGCAGATATCTCATTTTGACCAGAAATGTTTGCTGTATTTCATGGTGTTATTGAAAATAGTTTTGGAATTCTAAGTTGATGTCTAAATAACTGCTGAATATTATACATAGTTTTTTAAATTTAAATGCATTTAACGTTGCTTTTTAAGCGAAATGTTCCTCTTTCGCACTCGTCTTTCAAGAAGCCATTTGTATTAGAGTTACTGTCTCAATGCATTAGGAAGAGCAGTACGATCCTAAAAACAGTTTATTTGTTGTTCAGCTGTATTTATCTTGTTGCTTGTTTCAGGCAAATCACAAACCATCACTGGTATTGTTCGAGCTGTACTAAAAGTAAGTCTTTTATATGTCAGTGTTTTTACAGACTAAAGTTGTCATGTCTTTCTTTTCTAACAGCACTATTCATCACCACAACCAACAACAACAACAACGGATGGTTCAGCAACAATCAACAAAAAAAAGAAAATGAAAATTCTTATATGTGCACCATCCAATGGTGGATGTAATGAAATTGTCAGACGACTATTGACAATTGATACAGCAAAACAAGAGCCAGAAAACGGGACTTCCGAAAGTACAACAACAACTACAACAAATAATAATAATAACAAACCGAAACGTAAGGAGGGCACACATTTTGTAGAAGTTGATACAGTTCACCTGTTGACTTTGCCTGTTTATGTTCAGTACCATTCAAATTGATTCGTTGTGCTCGAGGTGGAACCGTATCAGAAGATATTGAATCTGTGTCGATCGATATATTAGCTCAAAAACGATTGGAAGAGGGTAAGATAGGCTTTTGTAAATGATATGTGTATGTATGTCAATACCCATTACATGTTAGAATTAAACAATGCTCATCAACATGAAACACTTGAACGTAATATTCAACATAAAGTAAAAACGAAACAACAACTTGAAACACGCATTGCTGATGAAAAGAAACGTCTTGGATCGAATTCGGCAACCAGTGAACAAGTAGAATGAGCAAGATATGTTTACATTAAGTAGCATACTACAAATTTGTTTGTTATTTAGTTAAAGGATCTTCAAGCTAATTTGCATGAGGTCAAACAAACTATAACAAAATTACAGCAAACATCAAGAAAAGTAAAGTAGATCATATTTTTGAGTAGAAAAGATTTTTGTTTTAATATTGTGTTTCAGTCTATGCCGGAAAATCTTCGCCGCCAACGCGAACGTGAAATTAAGTGTGAATTATTAGAATCAAGTGATATTGTTGTTAGTACATTAAATTATGTTGGTAATACAATTTTTGATCAATTTTGTCCATTTGATGCTGCTCTATTTCTCAAACAACAACAACAACGACAACAACATCCGTCAACTACATCTGCCACCACCACCAAATTAATACAACCAAAAATACAATCATCATTATTTAATTTATTGATAATCGATGAAGCAGCACAATGTTTAGAAATTGATTCTTATATTCCATTACGTTTAGGAATCAATCGAATTATTCTAGTTGGAGATCCAGAACAACTGTACTTAGATATACTCAATTTGATGATATTTTACACTTATGTTGTGTTTTCTTATTTTTAGACCGGCAACAGTTCTATCTAAACGTGCTCTCGATAATGGATTAAATCAATCATTATTCGAACGTTTATACAAATTATTCAAATATGAAGTCGAAAATCCGATAAAAATGTTAAATATTGTATGTAAATGAGATACTCTTCTCCTAGGACACACACATATTTGTTCTTTCTCTCGTTTAGCAATATCGTATGCACGATGAAATATGTAAATTTCCATCATTACACATTTATCGTGGTAAATTACAAACAGATAAATTAACAAATCAAAAACGGTATACTAAAAATAAAGTTGTCTCATAAGATAGATAGCTATATAAAAGTTGTTTTTTTCTTTAAAGAAAAAAATTTCATTTGAAACCTTATATTGTTCTCGATGTTGTCGATGGTCAAGAAGAATTTGATAATATTACACAATCCTATTATAACAAATTAGAAGTTCAGTTTATTGTTCATCTTGTCAAATATATTACAGAAAAAGGAAAAGTGCCATTAAATCGTATGTATAGAGTAACATGAAGTATAGCCTATATTTTATCGATTATTAATGATATTTTGTTCTAGAAATTGGAATTATTACACCCTATGCTAAACAAGTACAATTTATACGTGAAAATTTAATGTTAAATAATTTATGTCAAAAACTAGACATTGGTACTGTTGATTCATTTCAAGGTCGTCAAAAAGATGTTATTCTTCTATCATGTGTACGAGCTACTCAACAAAAATTACAATTAGATGATAGTTTTACATCGACAACAATTGGATTTGTTTCAAATCGTCAACGTCTCAATGTTTCAATTACCAGAGCAAAATATGCCATGTATATTGTCGGTCATCTTAAATCGTTAACGGTATGTATTACAATTTCAGTAGTTGCATTTAAAATGAATTTTATAGGCGATTTGTGTGTATTGTAGGTCAGTGACGATTGGTCAAAACTGATATCAAATGCCCGTCAACGAAATTGTATTTTAGAATTAAAATCATCTGATCAACTTGATCACTTGATGAAATCACATCTTCAAAAGCAACAACAACAACAACAATCAAAACAGGTGACATGATAATTGAGTTTGGTGCTTTCGGTGCTCTCTTTTCTTTGCTGTTTGTTCGAGTCATTGTGTGAAGTTTTTGTTGTAATTTACATATTTTTTTTCGTGTTTGTTTATGTTTTTCTTTTTTAATTTATTGTTACATTTCCATTACTGTATATTTACTCTTTTTTTCTGGTGAAGAATCTGGTTTTTTTTTACTGGTCAATATTTGTGTTTCGGTGTTTTTACTGCTACAAGACAAGATGTAAGCTAAAATGATGATGAATTTTTTTTGTATTTGTAGTAATTAAATAACAACAAATAGTAAATTATTGTGATAAAAAAAAAACTTGACCTTTTCACTTTCACAGTCGATAGACGTTTCTCAAGTGCTTTTTTTGATATCTTATCAAAGTGAATTTATAGTAGAATTATTGATGTTCAACATTTTTTTGGACATTTGAAACATTATTTTCATAGGAATTTGTACTATTGAAAACAAAAAGACTGATTTAGATGAAATATTCAAAAATAGTAAAAGAAATTAAAGATTTGACACATTTTACTAAGATATGTCGATTATCAAACGATATCCTTTTCCGTATGTTCTAATTGTTAAGATCTCAAAACAGAAACACATTACTTGAAAGTATGTTTGTTATCCTATGTCAAGAAACGTTCTCACATTCCATTTCTTCTGATAAAATTCATACTGCACCGAGTTAATTTATCGAAGAATGATTTGGAATGAAAATTCAAGTTTAATTATACACTACACGATAGCTACTGTTAGTGCCCTTCTAATCAATTATAGTCACATCGACTTTTCTATTATTTATATAGAGTGACTTTTCTGTTGATATTCTCTATTTTTTTCACGTTGATATCGTAGAGATAATAGGATGTTCCTTCTTTGCTCGTATATGTATATACTGGCGAGTAATCTGATCTATGTTTTTCTTTTTCTCCTTTCTGTTTTAAGATCAACCAAGAGCAAACGAATCATCTGTTTTTTTTGTTACGGGAAAATATCGGTAGCAAATAGATCTATTAGATTTCTTCTTCCTACAATATGTATACGTGTCAAAAGTCCATCTAGTACCATCATAATCATTGAATAGAACAGAGAAAATAGTAAATAGAGGATCACATATTTTTGTAGTATTAACACTTTTAACTATTTTTTTAAACACAAAAGTGTAGTTAATCGATAGCAAATAGGTAAGATTTGTTTATATTTTTGAATAATCTCAATGTTTCTCTTAGTTCATAGAAGTCTTTTTATGAATGATAAGAATCGAATTGTTGTTATTTTGTCAATGATTTTTGATTTAAAGATTTTTTGTACTTCTTTTATGTATATTTTAATTATTTTAGCTGAAAAATATGTTCTATAAATATTATTTACTATTATCTATTTTACCATTGATTAGTGAATGTAAAAAATATCGTTTATTTGGTGAAGAAGAAGTCATTTCATCTGATAGTCGATTATTAATCGATATTGACATTTACAATCGACCATACACACTTCCTTATTTATTTTATCAATTAGAGAATCTTAAATGTCCATGTCAATGTTATTTAGGTAAGTCAGTTTTTTTCATACAATTAGTTTAACTCTGTGAACGACATTTCACTAGGTATCAAGTGTTTTTGAAAATGATAAACAATAAAAATCAAGCTACCTAAATGTTAGAATAAAGAGTATAATACTGCTACGAAGAACATTTTAGATGAATTAAAACCCACTTTAACTATTTATTATGAGCTTTTCGATGAATGCTTTTACCAAACAACATGACAAGATACAGAGAAATTAATCAGAGATGGGAGAAAGTACAAAGTTTGTCCCGAGATTCTTTTTAGTTATGAAAAGTTATACTGATAGATGACTGAATATGTCCTTTAGTTTTTAACTCCCTTTACTTCTTTTACTACTTTTAGTTATAAAGTGAGAGTGAAGATAATAGTTCTGATAGGCGTGAAACAGAAATAGTAAAGGAAGTAAAAGACTAAAGGGTGTAAGAGACTAAAGGCAGTAAAACACTTAAGGGACTAAAAGTGTGACAGATATAATAGTACGAAAGTATAGTAAGACTAATAAGCTAAAATGAGAGCTGTAGCCTTGTATGTAAGCTAAAAACATCTCGCGACAAACTTTGTACTATCTCCCAGCCCTCAAATTAGTACTATTATATACCACCTATATCAGTAATAGTAAATCTGACTGAAATCTGATAGAAAAGGAGAGTGAAAACATGAACAAAAAGAAATGTGATCAGACCATATTATACGCGTGCAAATGTTCGTAGAACTAGGTGCCAAGAAATTTTTTCTAGGAAGGAGGGTCAATAAACTTTTTAGAGTGGTACACGAAAAAATGTACTTCCCAGAGAGGTACGCACGTTTTCAATTAAGCGTTGTTCGTTTCTTTTACTTCGAATTTTAAGAAAATACACTGCTGCGAAATAGAATTCTTCATAGCACATGAATTGCTTCTTGTTCTTGATATTTTTTTCCAGCAGAGACAATTGTCCACAACTGCTCCGCTGGCGGTCCATCAGTGAAAAGAATGCAGATTAGTGTGCTAGAGTGAGAATTTTACGTTCTTTTACGAATGTGTATTCAAAATATGAGGAGAAATATAAATCATACTGAAATGTTTGAAAAACTTTTTAGATAGAAAAATATGAGATTTCTTTTGACGTTGAATTGTAGAGCAAACATCTTTCTACAAAATGATGTGCTTGAAGAATTTAAGGCGCGTAAGGAGAGCAGATAACAAACATTTTACTGAACCCTACTTTTCATGTCATAAACGTAAAAACGTGAAATTTGTAAAAATTTAATTTTTCAACAAGTGCCTTTTCGTTGTAACACACTAGATTTGGCTATTCTTTTGAGTTCTAAGATTTGAATTATTGTATTTAGTAAAGCGAAAAGTTTGTTTCACAAAACAGCATAGAGTAAAATTCGTTTGCTTTACATATTATCCAACTGTTAGTTTCGTATTCCACTAAAACTTTTTATTCTCAGTTCATATTTGATTCTTTGCGTATTTTATTGCTCTAATATTTCGTCTTTCCTTCTATTTAGATTTTCGTTTATATCACGTGTACAATACAACAACTGAAGATGAAACAACAAAACTTGTTAAAGAATGGTTCGATTATGCTCAAAATCATTTGAAATCAAAATTATTTGTTGATATTCAAATTCATGAATGGACATCAACACCAACCAGTGATGGACCCCATCGTCTTCAGGATGTTATTGAACGTTGTAAAATTTTAAATATTAACTATTTAGCCATGTTTGATTCTATGATTATTCTTCTCGAACCTCAAAAATTATTATCTAGTTTAATTCTTAAAGATAAACCATTAATTGCACCATTATTACGTTCAACAAAAGCCATGTATACATCAACATTTTGGTTATACGATTCTACAAATGATTTAGACCAATATCAACAAATCTATGATCGTGTAAAATTAGGTTGTTTTAAAGTTAATGGTGGACTTAAAGATTTCTATTTTTTTAATTTTCAACATTCAAATGTGAATCAAACATTTTTACACAAATATGATTATAAACAAAACGAAGTTGCAGGTAATTAGTACGTCATACACTCTAAAAAAGGTTGTAGATTAATAAACTACAATAAAAGAGTTTTTTAGTCCCAAAAAACTCTCCCAAAAACCGTGAGTTTTTCATTTTGAAACGATCACGAACGCTTTTTAGTTTTTTGGCATAAAAAACCCGTTAAAAAAGTCTTTTGAGATTTTTTTATCAGTTTTTTCAAAAAAACTGTTTTATTGTAGTTTATTAATCTACGACCTTTTTTTTGAGTATACTATCAGTACAGTGGACAACTATCGAAACATTAAGCAAAAAAATCAAAAGCGCACTTTGTGCAGATTAGTTAGAGGTGAAATAGACTTTAAGATATGGGCTAATTGTTGCCAGAACATGTTTTGATCCAACTATTAAAAATTGTAGGAAAAAATTTGACCAAAAATTAATCTAAAAACACAGGGACGGATAATAGTAATAGTAAAACCCGAAGACACCTACAGACAGCACATAGACATCCACAGATAGCCACTGGCAGCTGTACAGACAGCCAGAGCCCTGCAGGTTGCCAATATTTGGCAACCTATAACCTAACCTATAAAAAATTTCACAACCTAATCCTAACCTAACCTATGGATTCGACAACCTAATCCTAACCTAACCATTGAAAAAAAAATAGAACAACCTATAACCTAACCTAGCCTATAACTTTTGCAACCTAATCCTAACCTATAGGTTAGGTTAGGTTAGGTTAGGTTAGGATCAACCTGCAGGGCTCTGCAGACAGCATAGAGACACCCACAGATAATCCAAAATAGCTACACAGACATTCACTTCTGCGAACATGGGAGCGACACAGAAGTGGATGTCTGTGGGTACCTCTATGCTGTCTGTGTAGTTGTCAGTGACTATCTGTGTAGTTGTCAGTGACTATCTGTGAATGTCTGTAGGTGTCTGTGTGTGTCTTCATGTTTTACTATTACCCACACAGAGACATAGGGGAAAAAATTTCTGATAAATGCACGGATATTATAGTTAAAAATGAGAGAGATAATGATTTGTCTGTGCGAGAGTGAAGAAAGTTTTTGTTCTGGACGTAAATCTTCGCAGAAATGACATTATTTTCCAAGCTAATGATGTTTCCAGATTTCTGGTATAATGAGTGACCTAAATGTTCCCAGGTTTCAAATTAGGCGAACTTTTTGCAGTGCTTGCCTTTATGCCTCACATCCATAATATTAGCGTCAAATAGCGTCATCGTAATTCTAGACGTTAGTATGAGGTTTTCAGAAAACTATAGCTTGTTAGAAATCTTGCTTTTAAGCTCAGAAGCACTTTTAACCCTTTCAGGACCGGTTTAATTTTTATATATACAGTGCTGTTCAAAAGTTTAAGACCTTTTTTATTTTGCAATATCCTGGCTTCCATGACAGATAGAGACTTCATCCTTTCGTCAAAAGAAAG